ACTGAAAGCACAAGCCGCGTGGCATCAGTGGGCCTGCCCTGCCCATGTGCACGATGACAAAGCTTCACTGAAAGACACATGGCCAGAGGATTTATGGACACCCCCCCTAAAAAAGATTACTTTTTACATTTTTAAGTATTCGAGTATTTAGTGTGGCTTAAAATCTTGCTCCAAAAAAAAAAAAAATCTTGCTCCAAGGTGAAAGTCCAAATGAGTAGTGTATGGCTCACACAGAAGAAGCCATAAAGAAGAAAAGGGAGAAAATTCCGTCTGAAGTGATTATGTGGAAGCGTATCCATGGGGCCCGGCCTATGGTGGCAGCTGCCACTGACTTTCTTCTTCCCAAGAATGCAAATGATTAAGATAGATTAAATACCTACTTTGCTTAAATACTCTTGATAATGAGTTTCTTTCCTTCTTTTAAGGATGTTTGATGTTGGCAGTTGATGGATCTTGAGTTAAATTGTTTTAATTCAAAACAGGACCATCTGTTGTTAGGATCTGCCGGCACTGCAGAGAACCAGAGGAGGTGACAAAGTACATGATCTAGAGATGTGTGGAAACAGGCAGGTGGCAGGGGGAAAGAGCACTGCACGGGAAGCCCAGAGGCTGGCAATCTTGTCCCAGCTCAGCCACTGAGTGGCCACAAAATCTGGGACTTGGCTTCTTTCTCCACAAAATGAGGAGGCTAGGTTTAGGCTGGCAGTGCCAATCATTCCTGACAGCTATGGTTATTAACGCACACTATGGTACCAAGTACCTAGATAAGAGTTTTTACAAACGGTCTAGTTTATGCCCTATTTATGAAGTGTTTAAACCCATTATGCTCAAGAGTATACATACTGATCATGTCCACCTTTTACAGGTGAGAAAACAGGCTCAGAGAGGTAAAGTCACTTGCCATGGGTCACACAGCTAGGGGTGAGCACCAAAAAACATAACACTCCAGTCTGCGCTCGTAACCACAGTACCATACCCCACAGGGACCTCTGGGACTGAGGATCCCATGAGTCTCAGCCTCTAGTATCCACAGTCTAGTGGCCATAATTGGCACTTGCTGTGAGTCAGCACTGAAGCAAATGCCAAGCAAGCACTGTGGGTTCTGATGTTGGAATCTTGGGTGTGCAAGGGGACACTGCTGCATACACCATTATTCCAAGTTAGGTCTTATTTTGCTGGGCTCCATTTTGAAACCACATCTGTGATCCAAATGTTGACATGAGTTGTAAAACTTAGTAAAAACTGAACTAGATTCAATGGAAAATCCCCAGCATTTGAATTTTTTTTGAAAGGCCAGCCATCTTTCAAGATCTCCTTATTCGGCTCGGCGCCTATAGCTCAACCGGCTGGGGCGCCAGCCACGTGCACCTAAGGTGGAGGGTTCGAGTCCCCAGCCCGGGCCCGCCAAACAACTATGATGGCTGCAACCAAAACAAAAAAAGCCAGGCGTTGTGGCGGGCGTCTGTGGTCCCAGCTACTTGGGAGGCGGAGGCAAGAGACTCGCTTGGGCCCAAGAGTTGGAGGTTGCTGTGAGCTGTAATGCCACGGCGCTCTACCCAGGGGAACAGCTTGAGGCTCTGTCTCAAAAAAATAAATAAATAAATAAATAAATAAATAAAAATAGAAAAATTTACAGGGCATGGTGGTGGGCACCTCTTGTGCCAGCTACTCAGGAGGCTGAAGCAAGAGGATTGCTCAAGCCCAGGAGTTGGAGGTTTTTGTTAGCTGTGATGCCAGGGCACTCTACCCAGGACAACAGAGTGAGACTGTATCAAAAAAAAAAAAAAGACCTAGAAGGAAACTAATACCTGCTGAGCACCTACTATGACTTAATGATCATTGTTATTATTATTATTATCATATGTCACACGGTATTAGGCTGTCTCCCCTCATTCCTCACATCTGTTCTTTTAATCAGGTATCAATACCTTCATTTTTAAAACCAAAGTAAGACTCAAAGCAGCTAAATCACTTACTCAAGACCACACAGCTGAGAGAGGAGGAATTTGGCTCAAGCTGTGTGATCCTTCCACTACAGCATGCCTCATCTGCTTTGCCCATGACTACCAGCAAGAGGTTACCCCTCAGAGACCTTGTGGCCTAAAAAGACCTACTTTCCCTCCCTCTTCCGCTGTATATGCCTCCTAGGAGGCCACCTTGATGTACAGGACACCACTTCCTTACCCACACAGCCGATGGTCACCACCCCATCCTTGTAGCGCTCCCGGGTTGGGCCAGTTGGCTCCATCGCTGAATCTGTCTGCTGTTCCACCAGGACTGCTGGCCCATCCTCCTCTTCCTCCTCCTCCCCTGAGCCATTACCCCAGGTGGCTCCAGCCACATCTCGAGCAATCTTCTCCCGCCAGCTGCTCAAGTCCACTGTTCAAAGAAGAAAATGAAAGTTCTTCCCAGGGCTGCTATATGCAATAGCATAGACTATGCACTGCACAGCTAACGTAACTGACACTCTCAGGTATAGACCTGAACAATGGTGGGCCAGAGAATCTCCCAGCCTTCACGTGACCCAACCTTGAAATCATGAACATTTCTTTGTCTGAGTTTCTGAAAAGTCCTGAGAAAACTAAAGGCAGCAAACCACTGAGGCTTCTGCCTACCAGCTGCCTCTCTTATCCTTCCAACTCAGTCTTCTCCTATATCATTCTACCCCTGACCTCTCATGCACATCTATAATAGAGGGGTTGTTTTCAGGAAAGGTAAGCAAAATTACTCTAGGCCTTAGATCTCCTTCATGTCCTCCCACATCCGTTCTCTAAGGGCCACATACCTTTCCCCACAGTGATAGCCTCACAGGCTCTCAGCAGTTGCTCAGGTCCCAGGGCTCGAGTCCATCCTCTTCCCCTCCTCCGACTTTTCTTCAAGACTAAAATCACAGGGCACAAAAGGGTTAGCACACAGGCTATACACTTCATCTCTTCCACCACATTTAGGTCCAAGATCAGGTACTCTTCTTGTCAGTAAGTCTCTAAGTTCTTTCCTCTGTCCCCCACTTCCCCACCTCTTCCATGTTGCCCTCCTTGTTGTCTACTTACCACTACTAGGGTCCTGTGGGGTACGGGGGTCCCGAGGGAAAGAGGTGAAAAGGACGATATGGAGCTGGGGATAGTGTTGATGGAAATAATGTTTCCAGGCAACCACGAGAGCTGGTGGGGCCAGATCCACCTTGTTCAGGACCAGCACCAGCGCCAGCCCAAGTTCTCCAGTCACATACTCATAAAGTGCTGGTGGGAAATTCACAACCTGGGGGAGTATTGGTAAAAGGATGGAGCAGTGAGAGGTCAACCCAAAGTTCTCTGCCTCTAGCTTCCCCACTCAGCATAGCTTGGAGACAAAGCCTTGGTGGTAGCAGATTCTGGGCTGAAAATGGTAAACCAGCCAAACTAAACAAGGAAGACAAATCAGAGGTTAATTAAACTTGTTTGAGTCTCAGGGGGGTTCCTACAAGTCATGATTAAAGATGGAACCAAACCAAAAAACAGACAGGGAAACAGTGACACGTAGCACACTGAGGTAAAGGCTGGGCTCAGAAACAGAGATGGGGGATGGAGCAGAAATCAGTATCTATTTTCATGTGCATACTGTATGTGCATACATGCAAATGTGCATACATGCAAGCATGTGCATTCACTCATTTATGTGAGTGAATTTGAGTGTACTGGAGTGTACCTGTGTATACAGATATGCACATGCACACATTTGTGATTATGTGTATATGGGCATTGTTAAGGACCTTCAAGCTAAATGTCCCCACAAACCTCCCTTTCTCCCAGTGGAGGACAACAGTGAAGTGGCAGAGCCAGGATTTACACAGGGCAGTCCAGCAGCAGAGTCTACAGCCTTAACCACTACCCTAGCATTCCAGGTGGGCTCTGCAGCAACTGATGTGGCGGTACTAGAGAAATGAGATAAGAAAGAAAGGGCATCTTTGGGCTGGGAAGGGGGAAATCCCTAGTTGCCTTCATAGACTCCCTGGAGCTCCATACTGGGATTTTCTATTGGTCTAGCTCTGGTGGGCTAGGAAACAAGACAGAGTTTTTCATCAAAGGCAATAAGGATAGTCAGCTGACCAACAGAGGAGTGACAGGCTATAACAAGAGATGAATAAAAAAACTAAATTTCTGAGTGCAGACATCAGCACAGATTAGAAGATGGAAAGAAAGGAAGGAGGATACCTCTCTGTTTCCCAACTCTTGCCTCTGACCTTTACCCCACAAGAACCTTCCCCCCAACTCCTCCTCCTTGCCCACCCTCATCCCCAGGACTCACTGGATGTCGGATATCTGTGATAAGCAGGACAATGTCGGACATCTCTAACACTCGCCACAGCTGCCTCCATGTCTGAAAAGACAAGATCAATGAAAGAGAACCTGAGCCCAGAGTCCCACTCCAGCCTGACTCCAGACCAATTTGACCATGGGTCACTTGCCCTACTTTGGCACCCACTCTACAGTCACCTCCAGATTGTGCTCAAAGTAGCTGAGTTTCTCAGAGGTGTAAGCCCCATGAATCTTCCCAAGATACTCCTGGAAGCTTCGTTCCTCCTGGCTCATTAGTTGCTCCTTGGACATCTCATAGCTCCAAGGAGGACGTCGGGGAAAGTCCAGGACTAGGAAATCAAGAAGTCCAAGTGTGAGGATGGTTTCAGGATTCAAGTTTACATTCCAGATCCCTCCTTCCTCAGAACAATCAGCTCTTAATCTTTCACATGCATTCCCCCAGCCCCATACCTGTCTTGCTCTTCCTCACCTGAGCCAGGCTGATAGACCTCCGGGATGTCTAGCTCCAGCACCTCAGCACTGACAGGCTGTAACACTTGTTCCCGCGCTGCTCTCTTTCTCCTCTCCACCTCCTCCCGACTGTCCCGTTCAAAATGCAGCCGGTATCTAAGGGAACAGGGACCATGAAATCCAGAGCAATCCTGTGGCCACAAACTCCCATTTTCTCCCTTTATGGGCAGGCAGCTTTCCAAAGCTTTCTCTCCGGAGTTATTCATGTCTCCTGTCTTAGTCAGCTTTCCCCCCAAGTCCCTCCTTCACACAGTATTCGGCCTCATTCTTTTAAAAGCCAAACTCTTTCCAGTTCCTCTGGAAGGGAAGACTATGGCCTTGCTCTGGCATCCCAGCTCCACAGCCTCCACTTTTAAGCCTCCAAAAGCAGCAGCCTGCTTTTCCACAACGCTCTGAGTTCCGGGTAGGCAGGAAAGCCAGTGACCAGCGCCCCCTCCCACCCTCACCGATTTGGGTCGTAGCCTCGTGAACCCAGCCCCTGAGAAGGCTGCTGGTTGAGTCTGCGGATATGATGGGTCACAGACTCCCCGTCAGAGGTGTCGGTCTGCTCCTCCCGCCGCTCCCGGCTCCCGCTGCGGCTGTTGGAACTGGAGCGTAGCCCATCTTGAAGCCCTGCGGGGAGGGGCTGGTGACGCCAGTGCTGGCCGACTCTCAGGGGCCATGAGACCCTCTCCCCGATCGACCTGACTCTTCTTCACCCCACCCAACTTCTTGGGAGGCTCCGTCCTCCCAACCACCCTACCCAGGACCCTCCCGGATGTGCGTGGGGGGAGTCACTCCTCCAGGGAGCTGCGAGGATGGCGCCCCGTTCGAGCTGGAGGGATTCCCCTCCCCCACATCTCCATCCTTTCCCACCCCTTCCAGTTGTAGGGGGCTAGGGTGGGGGAATCCTCTCCGCCACAGCCTGCAGGGGTCGGCGCGTGCCCATCAACCCCTCCCACGCCCACCAGAGGTGCGGCGGGCACACCCCTCCTTCCAGATGTGCGGGCGCCCGAGCCCCGCCCCCTCCTCCCGCTCCCGCACTGACCTCTCTTCCGCTCCCGCTTGTCCTGCAACTGCTTCTTTTTCTGCTTCACGCTGAAGGGCTTCTTCCTCGGCATGGCCCGGACCAGTCACCTGGCCCGCCCTCCGCCGAGCTCCCGCCGCCTCAACCGACTCCCCCCGGGGCAGCCCCAGCCGCAAGGGCCCGGGACCCTAGAGGAGGCGGGGCTAGACGGTGACGTCAGCGGGCGGGCCCGACCGAATTGCCGGGGCTGCAGCAGTGGAAGGCGGACGGGAGAAACACAGTAACTTCCCCCTGGGAACCAGGGGAGAGGATGATGCGGGATGAGCTAAGGGCACATGAGAGCCAGCGGTACCGAAAGGGCGCCCCAGTGGCGAAGAAGGAGGCGCGCGTGGGAGGTTCGGGCTAACTTCGTCACGGACGCTACCAATTCGCGTTCGGAGAAGGGGGGACGCGTGTCATCACTACCTTACGTTCCCGGGAGGAGCTACCACTCACCTGGAGGGGCGGCGGAACGGAGGGCGGGTCCTTCTACCTAACGGAGAGGAGGCGTGGAAACGCTGGGGCTACACTACCAACCCGAGGAATTGACTTTAGTGGAAAGCCGAGGCTGTGCGTCCCGGGAATGAAGCCAGGATGCTGTCATACAGAGGAGGCACGGTCAAAGGTCTTGAGGAGCTGGTGGCGGTCAGAAGAGTCCTGTACGCCGACCTTCTGGGACCCAAATTTTTTGTGGAAACGATAATAAGGAGTAGTTTTACAGATTATAAATGCGAGAGCAGACAAGGGAAACACAGGTGGGACAGGAGTTTTGGAGAGAGGTCAGAGGGCATGAAGTTGTGCCTGCAGCAGTTACCACAGTAACAGGACCGGATGTGGCGTTCTTACGGCGCGACAGTCATCTCTTCTCAGGCCTTCTGGCCCGAGAGCCTGTTGACTTTGTAGCACACAATGAGGAGCTGGTTATGGTGTGTTCCAGCTAGGGGTAAGAGAGGATTTATTTTTTGAGCCTTTATATGAACGTGACAAAAGGAAAGTTAGAGATTGCCGACATGCCCGGCAGAGACGAGTAAGGCAGTTTACTCGAGAACGCAGCCGCTGCAGATGCACCCCGCAGCCTTCCGGAAGTGGAATGGCCGGAGCCTTAGCCTCACTGCCCACCGCCCCCCCCCCGGAAGCGGAAACGGAATCCCAGCGTGCCCCTTCCTCACTGCCCTCCAATTCCCGCTGCAGCCATTGCCTCAGCCGCGATGCCAAAACTAAAGAAGCAGAATCAGCACCACTTACCGCCGCCACCGCAGCAGCACCTATTATCGGAGAGGGAAGAGACTGGAGATGAGGAGGATGGGAGTCCCGTCGGTGAGGGGTCGGGGAGGGATGTGCACATGCCTGTCAGCCCGCCGGGAGATGACCTAGGGCTGATTAAGGTGCGGGGGAGGGGGCTCTAACGGAAGGAGGAAGGGCGCACGCGCTGGGGCGACACGGAGGGGGGCTGTCCTGAATGTACCCTCGAGCGAGGACTTGTCTAACTTGAACCATCAACCTCAATCCAGCCCCTAAACCTTTCTAGAGAAGGCAGGGGAGGAGAGAATAAAGAGCTCATATGCGCAGCCGCAAAACGGCAGGGAAGAGGGAGAGATGTTGCAGATTTCGATGACTGGGATGACAGTTTGTGACCAGACTTTCACTGGGAAGATGGAAGTGGAAGCTTTCTCTAAACTACTCCCTTGGGGGAAGGGAAGGAGGAAAAAACTATCTGATTGGCCAGCAGTTAAGGTGAGGGATTGGTTTATCTTTGGAATCACTTGGGATGTTTTGGATAGCAGCACTGTAAGGAAAAGAAAAAATTGTCAGCATCCTTCCCACATTACCTGCTTTGACTGAGTCTCCACTTTTTGCAAACCCTAAAAGAACTTTGCAGAAAAAAGGGCAGAGAGATGGGGTGAAAATATGCTGAACTTTACTGGTTGAATTAAGAAATGAATAATAAAAGAAAAATATGTAAGAACAGGATCATCACTCCTTTAATCCATTTTGATGACCATGTTTTCATGTCTACTCTTAGGACCACCCAGCCTTCTGGGCCCTCCCCCCATGGCCAATGGAAAGCCTGGTGATCCCAAGTCAGGTGAGGAGGAAGGGGCTTTGATCCATGTTAGGTCCTGGAGAAGGGAATAGGGAGGGAGTAAAACCCAGGAAGGACTTAAAAGATCAGGGATTTTGTACCCAAATGAATGGAAAGAAGTTGTATATTTACAGATTGGAAAACAAAATGTAAAAATGTCACTTCTTGGCTCAGTGCCTATAGCTCAAGTGGCTAAGGCACCAGCCACATACACATGAGCTAGAGGATTTGAATCCAGCCTGGGCCTGCCAAACAACAATGACAACTACAACCAAAAGAATAGCTGGGAATTGTGGTGGGCGTCTGTAGTCCCAGCTCCTTGGGAGGCTGAGGCAAGAGAAGAGCTTAAGCCCAGGAGTTGGAGGTTACTGTGAGGTATGATGCCATGGCACTCTACCCAGGGTGATAGCTTGAAGCTCTGTCTCAAAAAGAAAAGTCACTTCTCCCCAAATTGATGTATAGATATAATGCATTTCCCACTCAGCGCTCTTATAGTCACTTTGTGGAAATCAACATTCTGCATTGTTACATGGATATGCAAAGTATCACAGTGAGAGACTGTCAAGATAATCTTGAAGTGGGAGGGCTTATTCTGCATATCAGGACTTACTGTGGCCAGGTGTGATGTCTTATACTTATAATCTCAGCACTTTGAGAGGCTGAGGCAGGAGGATTACTTGAGGCCAGAAGTTCAAGATCAGCCTAGGCAACATAGTGAGACCTCTGTCTATACAAAAAAAATTAAAAATTAGCCAGATATGGTAGTGTACACCTGTAGTCCCAGCTACTCAGGGGGCTGAGGTGGGAGGTTAGGAGTATCACTTGAGCACAAGAGTTAAAGATTGCAGTGAATTATGATCACACTGCTGCTCTCCAGCCTGGGCAAGAGAGCAAAATCCTGTCTCTTAAAAAAAAAAGAAAAAGAAAGAAAGAAAAGAAAAGAAACAAAGAAAAAGAAAAACTTATTGTAAGCTACTCATCATGGCATGTACCTATAAGTCCCAGCTATCCAGGAAGATTCCTTGGGCCTAGGAATTTGAGGCCAGCCTGGGCAACATAGTGAGACCCCTATCTCTTAAAAAAAAAAAAATCCAAAAAAGATGTCACAAAGTTACAGGGGTTATGACTGGTTTGGGCATAATGACAGACATAAAAGTCAACAGGACAGGGTAAAGATTCCAATAACAAGCCCATGAATACATGGATACTTCAGTTATGATGAAGATAGAACTGAAAAGTTACACTTTTCAGTAAATGATGTTGGATTAGTTGAATATTCATGTGGAAAAAAAATAGAATTTGACCTAATACTCATACCACATACAAATATCAAATCCAAGTAGATTGTATATCTGTGTGTAAAAGATAAAAGAATAATTCTTCTAGAAAGTCAATGTATTGTCATGGTCTTAGAGTAGCTTAGAGTTCTTAGATATGAAATAAACATATGCACACTAGCCATAAAGGAAAGAGTGATAGATTGAACTACATTAGAAAGTATAAACTTCTATTAATCAAATGATACCTGTTTCTTAACAGGAAATCATAGAGTAAGTAGGAGAAGATATTTGGAACAATTATAACCAATAAAGAGCTCATATCTAGAATGTATAAAGAACTCATCCAGACAAGCTATTAGGAAAATTGACAAAAGACCAGAACAGACACCTTATAAAAATGGAGATCTAAATGAACAAGAAATGTGAACAAGTACTCAACGTCATTAGTCATCAAACAAATGCAAGATAAAAACACGACACTTTGAAATTGGAACTCTTGCATGCTGCTGTGGGATTGTAAAATGATGTAATAACTATGGAAAAGAGTATGTTGGTTTCTCAAAAAGTTAAAAATAGAACTATGATATGACAGTCCCACTTAATACCCCCCAAACTGGAAATAGGATCTTGAAGAGGTATTTGCACATCCATGTTCATAGCCGTACTATTCACAAAGCCAAGAGGTGGAAGCAACCCAAATGCCCATTGACAGAAGAATGGATAAACAAAATGTGATGCATTCATACAGTGGAATACTATTCAGCTTTATAAAAGAAGAAAATGCTTTCACATACTACGACATGGATGAACTTTGAGGACATTATGCTAAGTGCAATAGAAGACAAGTACAGAGGGCCAGGTGTAGTGGCTCATCCTATAATCCCAGAACTTTGGGAAGCTGAAGCAGAAAGAGTACTTGAGGCCAGGAATTTGAGACCAGCCTCAGCAACAGAGTGAGACTCGCATGCACACCCAACGCCCATCTACAAAAAGTAAAAAGATTAGCCAGGCACAGTGACACACTTGTAGTCCCAGCTATTCAGAAGGCTGACAGAGGAGGATCATTTGAGTCCAGAAGTTTGAGGCTTCAGTGAGCTGTGATCACACCACTGCACTCTGGCCTGGGGGACAGAACAAGACTGTCCCTAAAAAATAAATCGTTTAAAAAGGCAGATACTAACAGTTCCACTTATCTGAGGTGTCTAAAGTCAAATTCATAGAAACAGTAACATAGTGATTACCATGGGCTGGGGGAAGAGGGATTGAGGAAAGAGAATTGTTTAATAGGTACAGAGTTTCAGATTTGCTTAATAAAAAAGTTCTGGAGATCTTTTTCACAAGATGAATCTACTTAACACTACTGAACTGTACACTTAAAAACAAGATGGTAAATTTTATGTTACATGTGTTTTTTTACCACAATAAAAGATAAACTAAACCACCACTATTCACACTCACCAGAATGGCAAAATATAAAAGGCTAACCATACTAAATATTGTCATTTCAGTGGAACTACTGGTGGGAGCATAAGTTGGTATAAATACCTGGAAAAAAAAGTTTGACAGGATTTATTAAACAGGAGCATGCATGTACTTCATGACCCAATAATATTTCTACTACAACATATCCACATGTACTCAGTAGAAATGCATTCATGCATGTAACAAAGACATGTATGTTCGTAACATTTTTCATCATAGCCCCAAACTTTAAGACTCACATGTCCACTGTGAGTATATTAGATAAGTTGTGTATGCATGCAATGGGTACTACACTGCAGTGAAAATGAATAAACTTAAACTACCAAAGGCAAATGACTGCATTTCACAAGCAAGATGTGGAGTAAACAGAGCCAGAGACAAAGGACTAGAGACAGACTCTACATATGCAAAATTAGAAAACAAGCAAAAACTATCCTATGATATTAGAAATCAAGATAGTAGATACCTTTGGGAGGAGAGTAGAAGAGGCACAAGGTGGAGCACTTTTGAAGCATAATGAGGTCTGTTCTGAGGGTGGAAATTCTGGTGTGTCTACTTCATACATTTAAAAATGTGTGTCAAGGCTGGGCGTGGTGACTCACACCTGTAATCTTAGCACTTGGAAGGCCGAGGCAGGTGGATTGCCTGAGCTCATGAATTTGAGACCAGCCTGAGCCAGAGCTATACCTCGTCTCTAAAAGTAGCCACGTGTTGTGGTGGGTGCCTGTAGTCCCAGCTACTAGGGAGGCTGAGGCAAGAGAATTACTTGAGCCCAAGAGTTTGAGGTTGCTGTGAGCTATGATGCCAAAATAAGACTGTCTCAAAAAAAAAAAAAAACCAACTGGTGTGTCTTTCTGTACAACAATAAAAGGTGGGGGAATCAGGACTTCTGTATCAGGATTAAGCTGCCCATTGGTTACCTTTCCATGTCTTTCTCTCTCTCTCCCCTCTCTCTTTGTCCAGCTCTTCACAGAGGTCCTCCAGGATCCAGGGGACCGATGATTCCACCATTGCTCAGTCTCCCACCTCCTCCCCGTGGTAGAGGCCCAATTCGGGGAGGCCTCAGCCCTAGGTCTGGCCCATATGGTCGTGGTTGGTGGGGGGTCAATGCTGAACCTCCTTTTCCAGGGCCAGGCCATGGGGGTCCCTCCAGGGGAAGCTTTCACAAAGAGCAGAGAAACCCTCGAAGGCTCAAAAGCTGGTCTCTTATCAAGAATACCTGCCCACCCAAGGATGACCCCCAGGTTATGGAAGGTGAGGTCCATTTTGTTATGCCCATTACTCCAGAGTGACCTGATTCCCAGAATGCCCATGACATTTCTTTGGGCTGCCCTTTTTCATTTTGAAGCAGAAATTAACCTGAATGTTTTTTCTCCCAGGAAAAAGACTACCATTCCAAACACCTGGAAATGGTAGAGGGTAGGAAATCTTGATTGCCTCTCTGCTTTTCATTATATTTCTTTTTATTCAAATTTTAAACTGCCCAATTTTCACTGTTCACAGACAAATCCGACCGCCCTGTCTGCCGACACTTTGCCAAAAAGGGCCACTGTCGATATGAAGACCTTTGTGCCTTCTACCACCCAGGCGTCAATGGACCTCCTCTGTGAGACTGCTTTCCTTCCAGGTTGGAAGGAACCGTCTGTGACCTAGCAGCCATGTCTTTCCCTGTGGCCCTGTGGAGGCTACTGTGAGGCTCTTCCACACAACACTCTCAGTCAGTTACACACCAACCTCATTCACCACCTCCTGCATTTGGGGTCCAGAATTGTGTTTCATCACTGGTGCACAATGTGCACACTTTCTTCTGATACAGCCTCCAGAGACTTGCCTTCAGGACCCCATCTTTGCTCCCTTCTATTGCCTCCTGGATATCCTTCCCCCTCGTCAAATGACTGCTGAACAGGAAACCTCTTGGTGCTGTTTCTTGTGCATCTGTCTACCAGCCCGCCAGCATTGCCCTTGATCCCTGAGAGCTTGGAGTGGTTTCCTACCATTCCCTTCTGGCTGTTTGTTTTAAGTCCTTTTTATGTGAGACCTTCTACCCTCAGTGTTGTCAGATGCTTGTGAAACTCACCAGGTTGACCTGGGTCAAGTTTGGGTGACTGGTACAGAGTTACTCCCTAAAAGGCACTCTTCCTGCTTTTGGCTTTCATAGTTTCTGTCAGTAGCATAATCCCCACCACTATGGTCTGTGACCACTGTGTTTTGTGAAATCCTGTATACCCCCATAGGCTTTCTCAGTGTCCGTGGCATTTTTTGTGGCTTCCCAACACTAGAATAAGTTTTTCTGCCAAAATGAATGAGGCTTTTGGTGCCCTCTAGACTTCCCACCACCTCCCAACATGGGAGAATTGTGAAACTGTCCGCAAGACTGCCTTCCTGCTCCTCCTCATGCTCCTGGTGTTGGTTATTCTGGTCTGACACAGGCCTGTGGGATGTCTCGTAAAGCCTCTGTTGGCTTTACCCTACTTAGCTCCTCTCCGGTCCATTTCAGTTAGACTATGTCATTATGAGGCCACCAGACCTTTCATTGGAATTCTGTGAATCTCCACCTGGCCTATCTCTGGGTGGAACCTGGTCAGTACTATTGCCCTCTTTGAAACCCTCTTCCCCTACATCCCTGGCACTGGTTGTTTTCTGTGAAAACAACAGTGTACAGGTTCAGTTTTGAACTGGCCCTGTAGAAATGGGCCAGGAACTGTGTAGACAAGAGGGAGAAATGAGAGCTATTGGAGAAATGAGAATGAGTTTTTTTCTTTTTAACATTTTTTTTATATTAGTAATAAACACAGTGGAAAAACAGCATTTTCTTTAACCCTGTGTTCAGTCATCTCTGAAGTGCAGGTGAGGCTGTTCTTGACAGAGTCAGCTCATTCTTCGTTTACTGATGTACAGTGATGGTGGGAATGGCAAAGTAAAAGTCTCTTACAGGCAGAAAAAATGAGATTCCATTAGCCCAAAGGGGTCCTCAAACTTTTTAAACAGGGGGCCAGTTCGCTGTCCCTCAGACTGTTGGAGGGCTGGACTGTGGGCCCCAGGATGAGTCGGCTGCTAAACAGGACAGGCAGCCGTGGCAAAAACACCTGGTGGGCCGGATAAATGTCCTAGGCGGGCTGCATGTGGCCCGTGGGCTGTAGTTTGAGTATGCCTGCATTAGCCTATAGGCATCAACCACACCAAGCTATATTATGTTCAAGGGCAAAGTTTTGTAGGAAAAAGGAAAAGCCAAGTGTCTAAAGTAATTTTTTTTTTTTGAGACAGAGTCTCACTTCGTCACACTTTGTAAAGCACCTTGGCATCATGGGTCACAGCAACCTCAAACTTTTGGGCTCAAGTGATGCTCTTGCCTCAGCCTTCCTAGTAGTTGGGACTACAAGCGCCCACTACAACACCTAGCTATTTTTAAAGGCAGGATCTCACTCTTGCTTAGGCTGGTCTCAAACCTGTGAGCTCAGACGATGCATCCACCTTGGCCTCCCAGAGTGCTAGGATTAGTTTTCAGTTTCTTTTATAGGATTGGTGGTTCTGGAGTGATAATGGTGAAGTGGTCTCTCAACAAATACTTGTAGAGTGCTGTGGGTGAGGCAATACACTAAGCTCTAGGGATAACAAAGCCAAAACCAATGAATTGAAAAATCAGCGAGAAAGACAGATTCATTAAATAATCACAAATAACGTAAAATTATGTCTGTCAAAAGTGCTGGGAAGAACAGAGGCATGGCGAAAGAATGTAATAAAGGGAGTCGGAAGGATACACAATTGAGACAAGCTCTGAAAGATAAACACATGCGATGGGAGAGAGTAGTCAAGACAAAGGTTTTTGCTAAAAGACCTAGGGGAAGATAAGCTACAAAAACTAGGGAGAGAGGCTTGGTGCCTGTGGCTCAAGCGGCTAAGGCGCCAGCCACATATACCCAAGGTGGCGGGTTCGAATCCAGCCCGGGCCTGCCGAACAACAGTGACGGCTGCAACCAAAAAATAGCCAGGCATGTGGTGGATGCCTGTGGTCCCAGCTACTTGGGAAGCTGAGACAGCAGACTCACTTGACCCCAGGAGTTGGAGGTTGCTGTGAGCTGTGATGCCACGGCACTCTACCCAGGGGGATAGCTTGAGGCTCTGTCTCAAAAAAAAGAAAACTAGGGAGAGTTGAAGGCAAAGTTGAAGAGCTAGACCACTTGGGGCCTTGTAGAACACAAAGACTTGGCTCTTAAAACAAGCCTTTGAAAAATTTTAGGCAGGTGAGTATCATGGAATAGATGGGTTTTACAAAAAGACCCAACTTAGTTGGGGGTGGTAGTTCGTGCCTGTAATCCTATCACTCTAGGAAGCTGAGGTGGAAGGATCACTGGTGCTCAGGAGTTCAAGACCAGCCTAAGCAAGAGCAGGACCCTGTCTGTACTAAAAATAGAAAAATTAGCTGGGCATTATAGTAGATACCTGTAGTCCCAGCTACATGGGAGACTAAGACAGGAGGATTGCTTGAACCTCAGGAGTTTGAGGTTGCTGTGATCTAGGCTGATGCCACAGCACTCTAGCCTGGGCAACAGAGTGAGACTCTCCAGAAAAAAAAGACCAGCTTGTATAGAAAGGGCCAGGCTTGGACCTGGAGATTGGAAGGTTACTTCAGTAACACAGCTGAGCCATAGTGATGCTTAGACTTGGGTAATAGAGTTGGAGAAAAGCAGGCATTTGGAAATGACAGGTCAAACAAAAGCATTTTAGGTTTATCTGGGCAATTCTGGCTTACGTAACTCAGTGCCATTTTAAAAGAAAGGTATTGGGAGAAAACAGAATGCCACTAATATGCTTGTGGAATGGTTGAGGTTGATCTGCCTTTGAAGATTTCCAAGCAGAGATATAAAGCAGGTAGGTATTGGTATGCAGATTAGAACTAGAGACAAATCTGAGTTCTCTGCATATAGGTTGTGGTTGAAGCCATGAGCATGGATAAATTCACACTTTAAGTATTAAGCACGTGCTATGTACCTTTTCAACAGGTTCATCAAGGTCAGTTGTAACAGAACTTTGTCTTAAGCAAAATAATTTTTATTTCTCTGAGTTGAGAGGTAGACAGTCCAAGGCATATGTGACAACCATTTCACCACAGAATTCTCAGGTATTCAGGACCCCAAGCCCCACTGGTAAGATATACAATCTACACAATCACGAACTCCTATTCACAAAGGGGGACTTTAGCTTCCTCATTCATGTTCAAAGCCTCAGGACAGAAAGCTTAGAGGACACCAGTTTTCTTTTTCCCTTTTTCTTTCCTTTCTTTCTTTCTTTCTTTTTTTTTTTTTTTTTAGACAGAATCTCACTCTGTCACCCTTGGTAGAGT